GATTAGCGTTAGCATTTTGAAAAGGTTATTATCGACGAGCAGCGTTAGCGTTTTCAAATAATCTACACCGTAGAAAATTTTATCTAAAACGCTAACGCTAATCTCTAACGTTATTCCTAAACAGACCCATTATAAGCTACTTCAATGTCGTGATTGGAATTTGTTACTAAAGTCATACTCCATCTGTTCCATAAAAGCCTTCTCTTTTCGTTTTTTATTCTAATTCCCTAAAACACTTCTACTTTCTATTAAAAAACTACTTTTACCCTTACTTTTTCATACCCTACCTATCACATCATATTTTTTTTACTAATAACCAAACTATCAAATTCTACTTTTATCCATCACATCAGTGGTAAAATTGGAAAGTCAACTAATATTACACTTTTCTTATTTTGGCGCAAAGTCAAAATGAGAATGATTTTATGGAAAAGAGAGAGTATCTCTTTGTAACAACAATTTTTTGAATGTTATAGTGGATGAAAGTTAAGTATAAGTCTAGGTAAGACTCATTATCCACTCTTTTGTATAAAAGAAGTTAGTGTGTATTTGTAACTTCTTTTCTAGACTCTAACTTAGCCTCTCAGTTTGATGATAAAAATGTTAAATCTTGCTATTCATATTTTGTAACTTACGTAATTATCGAGTAAATACCTGATAATAAAAGGGTTATTTATGTGACCCATACGTGGTCTGAGTGTTTGTCTAAAAGTTCATTTCCATTGATTTGTTATCCACATTAGAAATTTGAAAAGAAAAAATAATTCTACACAAATATCTTATGACTCAATCCAGTGACATTTATTTTATCTTAAATTCTACTCGTATACATAATAAATAAACCCCTTCTAAAAAACAATGGTTGTTATTGTGAAGTATTGTGGTAAAGGTTTGAATGACTTGCTAGTTAATGTCTAAATGGTCGGTCCGCCATCCATTTCAGGGGATGTTTATCACCTTTATTTATTTATTGTTTGGTAAAAAAAATGGCGGGGTCAGAGCTTGGAGGCTTGGACTGTCACCCAAGTCGGTGGGCGATATATAGAAGATAATAATATAAACTTTAAGATTGTGTATAGATCAATTTTGAACTGCAATTAAAATAGTACTTCGTTGCAAACTATATTGCCTGTTTCAATTTTTACGATTTTTTATTGAAATTATTTTCAATTGATTTTATATAAAAATTGGTATAAAATTAAAAAAAAATTATATATTTAAAATTTATATCCAAAGTTCAATAAAATAAAATATGACATGACTGTATTATTTTATCAAATGAAAAAATAAAAATGCATAATAAAAATAGCTAGAACTTGACTATGTGAACAGAGAACGACAGATTTGTCAAGGATGGAGATGGTTCTTGGCGGGTGACAAGTTTGGGCCTCTTTTTTTGTACGGAAAGCGTATGGGCTGTGTTAAAACTATTCTTGGAATAAGTTAGGATAATCGAAAAAGTTAGCCCATACTACAATGCGCTGGTACCTAATGAATAGTGAATGGTTTAAAATTTAATCCAAAAAATTAGCCCATGATACACAGTATCGATGTTTAATGAATTGTGAATGGTTTAACATTTGATCGAACCAGCCCAACTCATAGGCCATTAATATACCAAACGTTTTATTCATAAGTCAGCATTCAGTAGTCATTTTGAATCCAACACTCAATCTAAGATATTTGGCTGAGAGTTACCATTTTTTATTGAAGTTATTTTCAATACAATGTTTTTAAAAATTATTGTTCAAAAAATATATTTTATATATTTCAAAATTATATCTAAATTCTGAAGTAACTTAACTATTGTGTATCATTTTATTATGGTGTTTTTTAAGTCAAGTTTGACATCATGTATAATAAACAAAAAATTATTTTCGAGCGGAAGGAACATTATTTTACGTAATCTTATCTAACAATTATTTCTACTTTTGGTGATGGTTGATCACATTTATAAGGAGAGTTATTGTGTGGGAGACTTGGGAGAGAATTGATCACATTTTTTTCGTGCCCGTTTGCATATGCTATTTGGAGGCTCATAGGGAAAGGAGGGGGTCGTGTCATGTCTCTTTCTTTCACGAACTAGTTCCAACAATACTCCTGTTGATTCGTTGGGGGTGCTCGGGTGTTGGCGTGGACCATATGGGCATTATGGAAATCAATCTTGAAACAAGACCGTCTAGGATCGGTGAGTGCTATTGCTGCAACAAACTTTTTAGCTTATACGACATATGAAGAATAGCTGGCGCCCATGAGGATCACGTTGCAACCAAAATGCAGCGAGATGAATTCATATAGGGGACATTGTGCAGAGAGATGAAGGTCATCCTAATGCTGGTTGTACACGACTATATTCCCAGAGGACAAGGCCGGGGGCTTTGGATGTGTGTTGTTGAAATTGATGAATGGCTCGTTCATTGCAGCGACAAACGAGATATCACATTGGTGTGCGCATGATGGCTCCATTAAATAGAGTTCTTCTTGGACTCTCATACTCTAATTCTTAATATTCGACGAGGTGAACATTTTGATTCTTTATCTCACTACGTTGTTGTGAGAATGTGGTGGCTCATATCTTGACTAAGAAAGAAATCGCACTCTTAAAGTACATATAATTTTATCAAACTCCATCTCCTATTATTAACCATTCATATCTATGATCTATTCCTGGTAGGCACCGTGAAAACATGAAACATGACACTATGGTAAAGCTTGAATTGAAATGGTCGTGGTCATCTTATACTATCAGTTCCTCTTGTCAAAGTAAGAGAGTGTTTGGCACTGCAGTGAATTCTTAGAAAAACAAAAAAAGTTCTAACATAGAAGTCAAGAGTATGTTATTTCAACTTTGCCAAAAAACACTTTTGGAGTCAATTTTCCACCATGAGAAGTAGAATTAGATTTACCAAACACACCAAATTCCTTTTAGACAAAGTAAAAGCTCAAAAGCTACTCTTTAACACACTGTTAAACACCCTCTAAGTTTTGACAAAACATTTCAAGCTTTGCCACACTGACTATTTTGGCACAGCTCTTCAATTCTTCGGGGGGGGGGG